GTAGAGGAGGAGAAATTCTGCTTTGCTATGTTGATGGGCAGGGAGGGCTGAGTTGGCTGCAGGCAGAGGGCCCTGTTTGGACAGAAGCCCAGGGCAGGAAAGTAGAGGGCCCACCAGTGTTTACCTGGGCATCTGAAGGGGTGTAGCAGCAGAAACAGCTGGGAAGCTCCAGGGAAGTCAGATTTGTCCCTTAAGTGCTGAGCTGAGGCCTTTGTAAGCTAGGCAGAGCTGTTTGCCTCCTAAGATTTCTCCCAGTAACTTCATAGACTTACGTGGAATGTTTGTACTTGGCCATGTGACATATTCACAGAACTTAATTAGCAAATTAGAAAGCTGATAAAAATGTATTCTGAATTAAAAAAAAAAAAAAAAAAACAGGAAAAAAGAAGTCCTCTGTGTGGTGTTGAAAACTCAGTGCCTCCAGAGGCCAGTAGGTAATGTCAGCAAGTGGTAGGGCTCCTGGGACTATAGGGGATTGGACAGCTGTGCCCTGACTGAAGGGGTCAGTGGCCTCTGAGCTCCAATGAATTGTCACATTATAGGAATGGGGTCCAGGATTAGCAGATCTTCGGAGTTCTCAGGGAATTCAGATTATTTTTGTGAAGTCTACTGATTTATAACTGATTTATAACTGTTGGGAACTCAGCATTGCGTTAGCTAGGCTCTTTCCTTTCTGTCAGCACAATGAAAAAACCCTGTGGGAACTACCACATAGGCCTTGGTGGTCTGTCTCTGCTCTGCACCCATTACCTGAATTTAACTATGTATTAGGTTAAGTAGTGTCCCGCTCCCCAATATTCATACCCATCTGGAACCTCGCAATGTGACCCTATTTGGAAATAGGACCTTTGCAGATGTATTAGTTAAGTTAGGATGAGATCATGCTGTATTAATCAGTCAATCAATCTGTCACCAACCAGTTGCTGTGGAGTCACCTCCAACTCTTGTTGACCCCATGTGTGTCAGAGTAGAACTCTGCTCCATAGAGTTTCAGTGGCTAATGTTTTGATGTTGATTGTGCTAGGCCTTTCTTCCAAGGCACCTCTGGAATGACTTGAACCTCCAAGCTTACAGTTAGCAGCCAAGTGCATTAACCATTTGCACCAGTTACTGGTATCTTTTGAAGAAGGCCATGTGATGATGGAGTGATGCCTATAAAAGCCAAGCAATGCCAAGGATTACTGGCAACCACCCGAAGCAAGGAGAGCAGCATGAGATGGTGCATCCAGAAGGAACTAACCCTATTGACACCTTAATTTCAGACATCTGGCTTCCTGAACTGTGATAGACTAAATTTCTGTTGTTTTAAGCCACCCAATTTGTGGTACTTTGTTACAGGAGCCCTAAGAAACTAATACAAGTTGTGAAGGTCAAAGTGGAAATGAGACTATTACAATGTGTACCTACGTTGGGCAACTGAGGCACAGGTCAGGGCCCAGATCCGGCTCCAGAGACCTTTCCTGAGGTCTTGAGTGGGTCCATCTGCTGTTCATTTTCTCATCTGCAAAGCTCATTATTAAACTTCAATTAATTCAGCAAACATCATTGCATGCTACATCAAGACAAAGACTTCACACACAAAAACAGAACATGTGATGGAGTTCTGTTCAAAATTCCACTGTTGTTGTAATTATTTTCCAGCAAAACAAAAACTAAAAGGTGCTGTGGTCAATCACTTCTTTTATTTATGCTGTGTGAGTAAAGTTCCAAGAAATGATGTTCAGACAGCATAGGGAGAAAGATGGAGGATTGACCTGACCCAGCGGGGGTGGGTGGAGCCATGCACCAGGCTCTCAACACACTGCCCCCTTTTCTGGCTGTTACTGAGTCCCAGGCTGTGACATAAATGACTGGATCTGGGCTTTCTGCACCGTCAGGGACTCCCAGTGCTGCGCATGGAGCTCAGCACAAAGCAGGCAAGTAGTTGTGTCCCAGATGAGTGGATCGCATGGTGGCTATGTCTGGTTTCTGTTTACAAGATTTTAGCCACAGAAAAAGCTGACAATATGGAACAACAGACAAGAAATCAAATGACATTTCTTGCATTTTAGCCTTTACAGTGGTTGTGGTAGCTAATGCACAGATATCACTCTGATGATTAAGGTACACTTGACCCAAGCCATGAACTTTTCAGTTGCCTCATTTGCAGGATAATGAATGTTGGATAATGAAAAATGGAGAGGAATTATGCATGCATTTGAACTATGGTGTTGGACTCTGGTGTCCACTGGTGGACATTTGGATTATTTCCAGGCTTTTGACTATTATGAATAAGCTGCAGTGAATACTCTCGTATAAGTCTTTCATTTCTCTTAGGGTAAATACTTAGAGAGAAATTGCTGTATCAACATACTGTAGATTGCCAGAGAATGGACAAATAAGTCTTAGAAGAAATATACCAGGATGTTTCTTAGAAAAGAAGATGGCAAGACTTTGATTTGCTTACTTTGGCCACATCATCAGGAAAGACTAATTGCTAGACGAGGTCATCATGTTTGGTAACGTAGAAGACCAACGGAAATGAAGGAAACCCTCAATGAGATGTATTGACACACTAGCCACAGCAATGCCTTGAAACTTACCAATGATCATAAAGATGGTGCAGAACTGGGTAATGTTTTGCTCTGTTATGCATAAGGTGGCATGAGTAGGAACTGACTCAGTGGTAACTAACAAGCAAACAAAAAATAATCAGAGCATTTAAAAATGAAAATAAACACACGGAACACCTACCCCAGGGCGATGCACCCACCTACTCTAGGGAGACACATCCCACAGAGCAGTCGGCCATGGGGCACCAGAGTGGCAGCATTCACATAGAGGGAAAGCTGGACAGACAGGAGTGCATAGTTAAGACGGGCACAGGGAAGGGTTAGTCACAGAGGCCAAAGGGAGGAGTTTGTTATGGTTGGGATGGTAATTGAGATGTGAAATCAAATGTATAGGAACTGTTGAATGTGAAACAAATTTTGCTCTGTAAATTTGCACCCAAAGCACAATAAAATTAAAATAATAATAAATTGAATGGGGACAAATGGAATTTGTAAAATGACCTAACACTGTGATGACTTCATTATTGATCTGTGATTTTTTTTTTAGTTGGTTTCACAGCAACCCAGCAAAAGCTGAATTTCCCTATAGACTGTCAGGCTTCTCATTTGGCATCAGGTCCTACTGTGGTTGACTGTGCTGTGGCTGGGATAGAAGGAAGGGTATAGAAGAAGGGCAGGGTACTGTCGAGTCTTGCTTGAACAATTATTTGTGGTTGTGCCTGAGAAAGAGAGGTCTGTGCTCTTAGAAAAACCAACTTGTGCTCACAGTGCTTGCAGCTGGCTGCCTCTGTGTGCGTGTGTGTGTGTTTATGTACATCCCTCTCCACCTCCCCATCACACAACAGGACCAGGTTGTAAGTGCCTCATGCACTAAAATGATTATGGGACCCTTTTTTAAATTAAAAATAAAACAAATATTAAAATACAAAACTGTATTTAAGGAATAGAGTTTTAGTGGCTGATGTTTCAGGAAGTCCTTTAAGGAAGTCCTTCCTAAATAGATTTCTTTTTATTTATTAAAAATTGTCTTTTCCTCTTTTCTATTTGAGTGATTGATAAATATCTTCACTTCACTGGTATTTGAAGCACAGGTTTTTCCTGCATGTTTGATAATGTGGTGGTGTGTGTGTTTGAGACAGAGAGAGAAACAGAGAGAGTGAGAGAGAGAGAGAGAGAGAGAGGTGTTGTTCCTTCAGAAATTACTAGTAAGGCCAGAGATGCATGTGGCACATTTCACAAAAGAACATATATGAATGTGCATTAGCTACCACAACCACTGTAAAGGCTAAAATTCAAAAGACAATGCCAAATGTTGGTGAGGATGTGGAGGAACTTGAACTCATGTGTTACTAATGGACATAAAAATGGTACAACCACTTTGGAGAATTGTTTGGCAGTTTCTATTAAGTTAAGCATGCACTTACCACATGACCCATGAATCCCATTAATAGTTCATTTCCGCCCAGTCCTTAGCATTCTTATGTTGCTTTCCCTTCTTCCACATTTTCCATGTCTGCTGAACCCAGGACATGAGAACATCAGCCTGTACATGGCAGAGACAAGCTGCACAACAGTTCAGCCCAGGATGCTGTATGATTTGTCTGTGGGCATTGTCTGGAAGATGATCCCATAGAACTTTATTGACTGCTCCAAGTAGGCCTTGATTTGCCCTGACACAAGTGCCTCAGAATGAAATGCAGCACTGCTTCTATGGCACCAAAGAAACAATGCAGAAATTTAAGACAGGATGTGGAGAACAGCTTTTCCATGTGAAACTGCTGGGGGATTTAGGTGAACTGAAAGTAATGACCCACATGTGAATCTGACAGGAGCAGCAGGGTTAGCGTTGCCTTCCTTGAACATATTTCATTTGAAATATGTTCTAGGATATTGCTGCTGTCCTATTATAAACTTAGGAAAGCTGAGTAATTAATGATCATGGGGCATTTGGTGCTATAAAATGCCATGTAAATGCTAAGGAGTAAAAATTACTCTGTATATAAATGAATATGCTGCTTTTATAAAATTCCGTGATGGAAAGGTTAATTTCTAGAAGAGCAAAAAAGCTTTTTTTCTGACTATCTTCAGAAATTCTTGATGTTTTATTTTCTTACCCATCTTTTAGGAGACTCAGATATTCTATATTTTGATGCATTGAAATGACAAATGGCTGTTTGACACTTTTAGCTCTGAAAATACAGTTGCCTATAGAGAGCTCAAGGAGCTCTGTGACATAGTGGGGAAGGCATTTGGCTGCTACCAGAAAGTCAGTGGTTCAAACCCACCACCAGCTACATCATAGAAAAAAGATGAGGCAGTCTACTTCCATAAAGATTTATAGCCTTGGAAACCCAGTGGGGTCACTATGAGTTGGAATCAATTTGATGGCAGAGTGTTTGGTTTTGAATTGGATTGTGGTAAAAATTGCGTTTTCTTGACTCTTTGTAGCAGAAGACAGTTTGGACCCAAAACCAAGGAAGAAGTGAAGATCATTGAGCACCAAACGCAGACCCTTCGGCTAATGCCTCACCTGGCCACGGTTTTGGCCCTGACCTTCACTAGCAGGTGAGATGGCACTTGGTGTGATGAGCTAACATGGGCAAGGAATGGAAACATGAAGCAGTCACAGGGTTTCACTTTCTCACTATGAACAGGATAAAGTCTGTGGTTGAAATCAGATGCCCAATGATGGCCTAATTTTGGTTATTCATAAATCCAGGTAAATGGAATCTACAGGGATTCAAGGAGACTCCAATCAGTGTTTCCTCAATATTTTTCAAAGTCAATCAGATTTGAACAGTTAAAATTTCAGTTTTCTCCACCTTCAGATAAAGGTTCTAATTTCCAGTAAAGTTTTCAAATAATAGGTCAAGATGTGTATGCAGCAGGGGAAGGAGTTAGGAGATTGAATCAAGTAGCAGTGATAGTGCTGTGCACTCACACGGAACCTTACATTCGCCTACAAGTTTTATCTGTGCCCTCTCACCTATTCCTCCCCAAAGCCATAGCTGGTTGCCCTGGAAGTTTTGTATCATATTCTCAGCACTATATTCTAAGGATAAAACCTTGGGGACTTGGGAATCACAGGGCCTGGTAGTAGATTAGGAATGGAGCTCCAAACTTCAGACCCTTATCCTGTGTTCTTTCCGCCCTACATTAGGCCATACTGGTTCTCATTGTTAACTACGCTGACTAAACTTAGGACTAATTTAGATTTGACGTGTATATGAAATTGATTACACTGATGGGTAAACTAGGAATGGAGTTTTTAAAAAGAAGGGAATTAGAGAGGTTTTGTTCTTTCTGGTGTGCCAATTTGTGGGGCCACCAACCTTCCGCTTGTGTGGCTGAGAGGGAGTGTGTGGGTGTACCTCTGCTCTTACTACACTCAGGAGTCTAGGGTACCTGCACAGAGAGTGCTGCAGACTGAGCTTCAGGTAACAGCACTCAGATCAATCCAAGCCATCTGGAAGAAAATTTAAATCACTTACATCCTACATCTGCTACTAAAATTGTTCTTGGATATTTTTCATCGAGGTTTAATTTGCATACAGTAAATGAACAGATTTTAGTGTATTAGTGTTAAGAAGCAAAGATGTCACTTTGAAGACTAAGGTGCACCTAATAACCCAACCCATGGTATTTTCAATCACCTCCTATGAATATGAAAGGTGGACAATGAATAAGGAAGGTCAAAGAAGAGTTGATGCCTTTGAATTATGGTGTTGGCAAAGAATACTGAAAATATCTTGGACTGCCAGAAGAACAAACAAATCTGTTCTGAAGGAAGAGCAGCTGGAATGCTCTTTGGAAGAGAGAATGGCCAGACCGCATCTCACCTACTCTGGTCATGTTTTCAGAAGGACCATTCCCTGGAAAAGGATATCATGCTTGGTAAAGTGGGGGGTCAACGAAAAAGGGATAGGCCCTCAGTGAGATGGATTGACACAGTGGGTGCAATGATGGGCTCAGGTATAGCAAGGATTGTGAGGCTGGTGCAGGACCAGGCAGTGTTTCGTTCTGTTGTACATAGGGTCTCTATGAGTGGGAACCAACTCGATGGCACCTAGCAACAACAACAACAAATACACAGATTTTAGTGTATAGTTAAAGCAGTTTTGACAAAGATATACAAACTATGTAACCAACACTCAAACCAAATGTAGAACTTTTCCATCATCCCAGAAAGTTCCCTCAGGCCTCGTTCAGTCAGCTCCCACCTTAACAGTGCAAAAGAGACAACCACTTTGCTGATTTCTATCCCCATAACTTAGTTTTGCCTATTCTTTAACCTCATCTAAAAGGTATAATGGGAACTCTGGTAGCATAGTGGCTAAGGCACTTGACTGCTAACCAGAAGACTGGCGGTTCAAACCCACCAGCCACTCCT